TAGAAAAAAAATATATCAGGTTAACAAACAAAGAAAAAATTAATATCAAAAAAAAATCATCAAGACCCAGTATCTGGTTACTAGTGTCCAGGTATTAGGATCAACATGAGACTTGGGACCAGTAGTTGGATACCCCATATTAATTAAACGGAAAGGAGGTTAGGGTAGACCTAAGTTCAAAATGCTCACATCTCTTAACTACTCAATGACTATAATCTTTTTCACCACATGGTATAGTTTCTAGTCATCATTTAACTTTATTTTGGTTTTCAACAGTAACATAAACGTGTTATATTCAGTAATAATCAATAATTTTAAGTTTTTTTTACTGTCCAAGTACCAGGTATAGAAAAAATATTATTTTATCAAATGAAAGCTATTCTTGGACAGAGTTATTTATATTTTTTGATGTGTTTAACTCTGATAAACTCAATAAAAATTATAATAATATACATTTTGCAAGGTAACTTTAGTTAAAAAATAACTTGAACGTACTACGTCCAACTATAAATTATAATTTTTAGCGATTTTTTCCGTGTCCAAGTACTGAGTATAGGAACACTCTTATGCTATTAAAGGCATCTATTTTTTAGCAGCAATCTGACATATTTCGCATTTAAAACATATTTTTTACGCAAAAACGAAAAAGGGGTTTAAACATAAGTTTTTTCATCAGGTATTACTATGCATTGATGGATTATAAATAAATGTCTTTTTTCTATTTGAAAACGTTTCTCATCCGAAAGTGTTAATTATATTGGACTGTCCAACTACTGGTGCTATTTTTATTTCTGTCCAACTACTGGGTACTTTACCTTGTATAACAATTATTTCATGAGTCATTCCCGTTAACTATCAGAATAAATCAACTCTTAAACTGAATGACTTTTTATCAGAAGAGAAAAACTCCGACAAAGAGTCACTGAATATTCCAGTGAATAACTTTACTTTGGATTTGGTTCAATATTTAAAAAGATAACACGATCACGGAAAGAGTTTTTTTTCATTACACGAATGTCAGTTAGATCTTAAATTAAGTGTTCATAGATTTTTTCTAAAGTGCAAACTGTGAAGTCAGTAAATTGTAGAGTTATTTAGTAATTATAAGTCCCGGAGTTAAATAAACTATTTTATCTGTAAATTATTTACATTTTGTTGGAACTATGATGTCATTTATCTTTTTAGATTATTTTTACCTTTTTTTTCTTTCGCTATCTCATCAATCCTATGAATGTCTTTTAGAGATATTTCTCCTGATCCGCGTTCTATAGGTTTTGGTTGAGACTCATGAGGTTTCCAGCCCACCATATAGATTATTTGAAATGTAGCTGGAACGAATCTGCGGCCATCTTCATCTTTGACTTTTCCATAAAGCTGATCATAAATCGCAGAAGCAGCCAACAAAGTGTCTCTCTTTAGATGCAATTTGCGATTTCTAGCTGCATTGTTTTCTCCCATGCCTTTTTATCAGATGCCAATAAACAATAAAAACTACATAAAATAAAAATAAATTTTTGGAGCGTTGCTCTTGGCAGCTCTGGTCATAACTCTGGGTAGTTCAGTCTATGATGAATGCATACGTATATATAAAACACACTCATTAAGCTTAGTAATGACAAGAGCTGCTTATAGCCACTCCTAATAAAATCAAGCTGGGGGAGTATTGCGCGTCATTTCAGCTGTATTACTTGATCAACGTCTCAAATATTTCACTACCAAGCTCATAAAAAACCGCCTTTTAATCGTGCATAGGCTGATGGTATATTACCTATGTGATACGCGGTTAAAAGGCAGCTTTTTACGACAAATTTGATACATGACACAGGTACTAAAACTGAAAAAGAGAAAAAGTGACTGATCTTACTATATAAGTAGTCTTTTTCGGAAGGTTGCCACTGACTAGTTACGTAAAATAAAGTACATAGCTAGATAGAAATAATTCTTTACTATTCAAGTGTAAATCAGATACTAATGAAAGCCAAGAGTCGATTTTAGAAGTATTTTTTTTGTGAGGTAAAGTATGTGAGTTAATAACTTTAAATACCACTCAGTCCGGCAGCCTAAAAAAAACGATGACCCATTACCATCCAGGTAACAGATTTAATGAGATTTTGTTTTGCTATGCATGCGCACCATAGCCAATATAATGCACTTATACAAAAACGTATGAACAGAGTGCATAACGATATAGGCTGGGTGCACCTGACAGTCAGCACTACTCTGATTTAATATGTAAGCTTGTGAAATTTCACCACCTTGTTACGCCTATAACACGCATCACATGCACGTATGCATCAGAGGCTAAAGCAAACTCTATTTTTATGTGTTAAATAGAAACATCCATACATACATACATTTCTTTCTAAATTAAATACTTATTTCCAAAGGCTCAGCCTCTAACCTCACTCTTTTCCCCTCCATCCCCCTCAAAATACCTTGTTATTCTTTTGTTTTCTCGCTATTTTTTATATTTCATTAAATCCCCCTTCATCCCTCAGTTTTAAGGGCTTAAAAGTTTCAGAAATGATTGCGTTTTGTTTGGTAGTTGATTTGATTGCGCCAATTAATTTGAGTGTTGTACAAGAGACTTCGATATTTTTTCAAGAAGTCTTAAACTTGTATGATAGAAAAAATTTTTAAAATAATACATCGTGTAATAATAAAGAAAAATAAATTATTCGTGTAGCAAAAAATAAATTATATCGAAAAAATTGTACCCAATTCATTAATAAATTGAGAACTTGTATATGTCTTTTTAAATTTTCTAACCTCGAAAATCTTTTTCCACATTTTGTACAAATTTATTTAATTTCACATTTACTGTGAATTCTTTTATGTCGTTTTAAATGTGTTGATCTCTTGAATTTTTTATAACAATGTAAGCATGTAACTGTTTTTTTTTCATATTATGTTTCTTTTGTAGTCTAACGAAATTTTGTTTTAAAGTAAATACAACTTTACAAGTATCATAAACGTATAATAATTTTCAATGTGTCTTTTAATGTTCTATTAATTTTTCAGGGTTCAAAAATTTTGTTTTGCATACATTGCAGATGAAAAAATCTTTTAAACTTAAACCTTATTTTGTATTACAAGTCATAGCTGTACTTAAATGATTGTGTAAGTTTAAAGTAAAAAGGAGTGAGCTAGTGTAAGTAACAAATTAAATTTTTGAATTGATTATATCGATTCATTCTAATTTTTTTTGCATTAATTTTTATTCCATTTGCAAGAAACCAGAAAAAAAATTTTGTAATATAAAAAACAGATATTTACATTATTTTTCTGGANGTTGTAAAATATAGAACATTTGTAGATGGATCAAAATTTTACTTCTCTTAAAAGTTTTTAAAACATTTTCTCATGTGGATGGATAAGTATTTAAATTTTGTGGGATTACTACAAAATTTTAAATTTGTTCGTAATATCATGCTTCCATTACTATTTTCTAAAACTAGAGACATTATTTTTAAATCTTCTCCTAAAACAATTAGTTTATCACAAAAATAGATATTTGTATTGCATAAATTACATAATGTTCTTCCAACTATTTCTAAGGCTCTTTTTGGGACCATAGAAGACTCGTCCCATGGAACCAAATCTATTTTTGTTAATTTTTTTTTTTTAGATTCTAATTCCAAGAACAAACTTTTCATATTGTTTAAGTCTAATGGTAAACGAAGTGTTCCATAACTGGTCATCCTTTTTAGAGGTTATATTGATGATATACCAGTCCATAACACAGATAAATTTTTTTTGCCATGAGAAATGAAAAAATAAATTAACGTTTTATATGGAAATATATAGTTTTTGAACCTCCTGGACCATCAATAAAAATAATTTTATCTTTTTAATCACATATAATTTTAAAAACCATGATTTGATCCTCATCTGATGTATCATACATTGATATTAACATTTGACTACAAATAACAATGCTTTTTATGGCACTGTTTCCTTTTATATCAAATTTTGTTGGTGTAAGTACACTGAAATTTTCACATAATTTATCTTATAATTGTAAAATTTTATTTACATATGGAAGTGCACGAGTTTTGTATTTTATCAACTCTAAAAAGCAAACTGAAATAATAAAATATTCATATAATATTAAGAAATTGGAGAGTTGGCGCACAGAGCCCACAGGGGAGAAATCCCCCTAGTAAATATATAGTTACTTGTGTGGAGAGTTCTTCACAATACCCCTACGGCCTCTAACTGAGTCTTTGTAAATAAGCACATTTTTTATCTAAGCCCCTACCGCCCGTCCCAGCAACTCTTTACAAACCACCACTGTCCTCTTCAAACCATCCGCAGATTATTTCTTGACCGTTCATAGAACCCTACACCATTTTTGGGAAACCTTACTGAGATTCTACCAACCTTTATGAACACATTTTTACATTTGATGTCATCCTTGAAATTATTTACACTATTTTTAGGACTGTACATATAAAACAAGTTTTAACTAACGAAAAAATGTTTTTTCTCTGGAGGCTTATACAAAGTTGCTGTATTAAGCAGGGGTACTATTTAAGGAAAGTAGGGAAATATTCAATTTTTTCTCTGTTATTTTGGCTTATATCATGTTTTTATTAAGACACCCCACCGTCCCTCACTGACCTTGAATATCTTTAAATATTTACTTTTAAATACTTATTTCCATTTATTTTTCAACACTACCTAAAAAGCAAATAGATGGACTATATATATGCGAACAGTTACTAGTTTTTACATTTACATTTCTAACAGTAAGATTATAAATCAATTTATTTAGATTTTATTTTAATTTCTCAAAAAATTTCAAGTTTTTGGTGCGATAAGCTTTTTTTTGTTAATATTAGTGATAAACTATGAAAAAAAAAATAAAGTTCGTAAAGTTCGTTTGCCTTTATATAATATAGTACTAATACACATAAATTTAAGTTACACTTTGTTATGCAACAATACGAATGATGGAAGTATTGGTAATATTATGGGTCAATTTGCAGAGCCAGGCAAGTAAATAATAAATTTTTTTTTTCTGTTAAATGTACACATGATTATCAGAAAGTTTCGCAATTTTTTGTATTTCAAGCAGAGTATTAATAAATTAAAGTAATTTTGTTTTTCGTACGTTAGAAAATAAAAACATGTACATAAAGCTAAATAAGTAAATTTATTAAAAATCTATTATCTAATTACCATCAACTAAAAATGTTACTGTGGGAAAAATAATTTTTGGAGCACGGTGAATAATAAGGTATATTAGAATGTCAAATGGCAATGCATTGTTTAATATTACATCATTATATTTGAGAAAAAGAGACATCGAGTAATACACTTTATACTATCTTAGATGAATTATAAGAATTTTGGAAAATTAAAACAATGGGAAATACATGTAAAAAGTTTCTTGTTATTGCAAGTTTAATAAAATAAAACTTTCTAGTATTTTACGCTATACTTTCTATGTAAATAAATTTTACATTACCAAGAGATGTACAGAATAACAACAAAATTTGGGGGTGAGCGCTCGAAGCGCGCAAGAGGACAGCCCCACTAGTGTATACATGCTAGTGGGGCTTCGCCTCCTTGCACGTTTTACTCACCAACTTCCGTTCTAAAGTGTCAAAAACTTATGGTGAGCTGATATATTATATACATATTTATATATATGTGTGTGTGTGTGTGTTTATCAGCAGGTGACTTATGCGGACAATCACATGTATGTAAGGTTTATTATGAGGACAAAAGTGGAATTATGTAGACGTCCGCATATTTCTACCATGTTATTAATATATATGTTAGAAGCATGTGAAGTCCACATAAGTCACTATTTATAAACACACACATTTGTGTGTGTGTGTGTGTGTGGGTACTAGTGGGGCTTTGCCCCCCTGCGCGCTCTGCATGACAACCTTCCATAACAGAGTAAAAATATATTATCAGCAGTAAATTGCTTAGTTAAAGATGCTTGTGTTGCTACTTTTTTCTTAGAGATTTATCAACCTATTTTAGTTTGGTTAAATTTAACTGGTAAAAGACAAAAAATCTTTCTCAGGGTGAGCTAAGCACATTAAAAATCATACAATTATACTTTTTTCACCCTTCTGCGTGCTTAAAGCGCTGACTTTTTATCATCAGATAATAGTTAAGTTCAAAAACATTATATTTAATGCTTTAACTTTGTATTAGCTGAAATTGTAGAGCAATACGTAAATGTTAAGAGCTGAATATGTTTACTAATATATTAAAATAATTATTATTCAATATTACAGGTTAGTATTGTTGACTTGCACAAAAATTTAATCGTGAATTGAAAAATAATTATTAGCTACTATTATCTAAGCACTAAGCATCCAAAGAATTTCCTCAACAAAAATGAAAAGCTCACTCGTCTATAATATTATTCACATAGACTATCATATAGACCTGAAGAACTAAATTTCAGTCCCTTGCTGT